TACGCTTGCCATATTTGTAGATTATGGTATATTGGCTGATATACCATAATGGCTAAGCCAATAAAAAGTCCTGAATTGCATTATCCAATGATCTAGTTTTTAATAATTATCGTTCTATGAAGTTTTTCTATCTTTTTTACTGTTTCAGCCTCGCAAGACAGACATTTCCCTCAGATCGCCAGGAACAAAGCCGAGCTATCTACAATCTCGTCTGTCCATCACTTCTCAGACGTCTTTGAGAAGGAGCGCTTCTCAAGCCTCGTATATTTACTTACCAGATAGCGACATGTTTTCTTCAACGATGTCGCTCTCTCCGAGCACCCCAAGGACGCCTTTGTCAGGGATGTCCTTTCTGCCTCCCGACAGTGTCTCGGAAACAATTTCCGAATCTCCGTTGCTTGAAGACACGGAACCGGACTATGTTAACATCGAGAACTTTCCAGAGCAAGAGGCTCCGCCCGATATACCTCCAAGAAAACCGTCGAATCAGACAAAACCTCGTGCGGCGTCGGTGAATGGCGACAGGCCTTCCGAACATGTGACTTCTTCTATTCGTCGGCATATGTCGGAAACTCCAAGTATCCCTCGGAAACCAACGAAGTCAGTGACAATAGAAAGGTGTCAGAACATTGCTCAAGACGACGACGACGACGACGACGACGACGACAACGACAATGATGCCCCTCCAATACCCCCTCGGGAACCAAGTAGGGGGCATCGTCGAACTCCACCTCCCATTCCCCCAAGGGTGCCTGGAGGGTGTGAACCCTCGACCGGGAATTTGGAATTAACTAATCACGAAGACACTCATCCCCCGGCTTTGCCGCCCAAAACAAGACGTTCATGACAATTATGATGTCGTGACCGATCAACGCGTGACAGGCTTATCATTGTGTGACATGCCTTTACTAAATGACTTCTATGACATGGAGTACCGCTTGGAATTTAATTTGCTTTTCAAATTGATCTTCAAACATAGCTGCAAATGGCTTCAATTATCTCAAAAAATAGACCTGATTTCGATCAGGAATAGAATTATAAATTAGTATAAATTCGAATAATTTTTTTCACTTTTCGAGTGCAATATGTAAACAAATACCTGAATTTGGAGCAATTGAAAACAATTCAGAATGAATAGACAACAAGCTTAAAGTGCATTCGTTTTTAATCCTTTGACTAAAAAAACGTGTCTGCTAAGGCATGGAACGAGTGCGTTCACAATGGTAGATAATAATACGTTCCAGGTGAACGTTGCATTGTGCTTGTGGTGTTTTTGCTACATGGGAGGGGTAGGAGAGTTTATTATAGGTGTAGAGGTACCTCCTTGGGCATCCTGCAATTACATTAAAGGCTTGACAAGCTTTTATTTGTGAGAATGTTTTGAAAAATTTTGCTTTGTCGCTCAGTGCGATCGGAGATAAACTGTAAGTCAGATACGTCGAATTGTTTTTTTAACTGCCAGAAAATAAAGGCTTATGAATTTCTAATGGTGCGGTATGCTCTGAAGTTGATTGTGAATCATAAACAGATTGCGTGGTTGGATAGCGCTTTTCCATTGAGTGGTTTATGACCGAAACAAAAATAATTACAAAATCAATCAGAATAGAGGAAAATACTATTAAGGGCCAATGAGAACTCAAGGTGAAAACAAACAAGTGCCTAAGGCGCGGGAAAACGCACGTGACCAAGCCCTGATTGGTTGAGTTGTTTTGGACTAATCACAGCGAAGTGTGACAAACCATAGTAATCTTGGGTTACTTTCGACTCCATCCTCGGAGACCCAGGGGCTGTGGGTCGATTTCAAGTTAGGGCACGAAGAGCCCCTGGGAACATTGTCTTTAAAGACTAGTTCCAAACGGTCGCAGTCGTTCTGCCATCTGATTGGTGCCAGAAAATCTTTGTGTTTTTCTGCCCAATCAGAGTAAAGTGTACTTTGGAGTCCTTTCGTGTGTTGTAACACGGACATATACTAATAGCTCAGATACAATGAATATATGAAGTTCGTATATTTTGAACTGCGGTATTAGATACGCATGATGCACGATCCTCGTAGTAGATAGCGCTATTTATGCAATAGCGAAAATCAGACCTGAAAAAAATCAGGCCTGTACGGGATTCGAACCACAGACCTCTGCGATACTAGTGCAGCGCTCTGCCAATTGAACTAACAAGCCAACTGGGAGCAGGCCGTTAAGTTGATTCGTAATAAATCCGTAAAAGTGATAAATCAGATACAATGAATATATGAAGTTCGTATATTTTGGGAAAAACAAGGTCACGTGGTCAATCTTACAGCTCACTCAGTTTCACGTAAACGCAGTGTTAAATCTCTCTATTATTCATCGCCTGAGGGCTTGGCTGGTTGGGGTGTGAGCCGAAGGATCTTAGTTTCGTCACAATAAAATTGCTCTGATCCCCCAACGCGGCTGTGTGATATCTTTGTGATCTCCCCCCCCCCTCCCATCATGGTCAGTTAATAGCCCATTTCCGAATTACCCTTGGCCTCTTTTTCAAAACGAGGCCTGGTGCTCAACCATCCTTGTGAAAATGAGTTTAATTTGCATGTGAATGAAAACTAATTATGCTATGAAAGGATGAGCACCAGGACTCGTTTTGAAAATAAGGCCAAGGGTAATTCGGAAATGGGCTATTGGAAATCTGTTTTCTTCAGTTCCACCGTTATACTCTTGTTGGCGACGACGGATCCCCACTCCATCCCCCCTGGAAACTATGTGCTCCCCACTTCAAAAATAAAAAAAAAAGAGTTTGACCCCCTGCGATAGTAACTAGTCCTTAAGTCTAATTGAGTTTTACTTTGCAGGGTCTTCGAGCGGAACTGTATTATTTTACTTAATCATCAAATTTATTATTTCGAGTTCTTGAGTCCTTACAAATGGAAACGATCTTGGACCTTCTCGGCGACCATTTTTGCAATAGCTAGAGAAGAAGTGGCCCCAGGAGAGGGTGCATTTCTGACATGCAGCACTCGGCTCCCTATGTCCCCTACTCCTCCGTCAAACACGAAATCGTCTACCAAATTTCCTTCACGGTCCATAGCCTGGGCACGAACTCCTGCTGGTCCTCTGTGATTGGTTGAGAAAAAAGACAGATTTTTGACAAGTTCTGATTTGGATCATTGAAAAACGATAAGAGGTAAAGTAAAGACGTCGAGTGCAAGGAAGAAGAATACGCGTGGAAGAAACGCGCGGGGAGTAGGAAGCGCGAGAGAGAGACGCGGTAGAAACGTGATTTCACGAAACGATTGGGTGTCATTAATGACAGGCGGTATTTCATAAGCGTTATTCTTGTTTTTCAGTGTCTCTCACCTCTCAACATCTTCAAATTTCAGGCTCGGAACGTATCGCTGAAGCTGTTTAACTTGAGCAGATATGATGATACCACGATAATACTCCCCGACACCAAACGTAAAGTACTTAAACATAAGTTTTCTTAGACCCCTAGAAAACAAAAAAATTCATTGGTTAATTCGGAGTTGGTTCATTCATCAGCGTGCGTTAAACGTTTGACTTCTACGAGCGCGTAGCATCTTATTTCTCCTTACATGATCACCTGCGAATGAGGTCACGACATCAAAGGAAATGTTCACAAACTAAAGCAGCCGTTTCCTACACAAATTCTCCTTGTCGGTACAATCGGAAATGTATAGGGAACAATGTGGAGGACTTGCCTACTGAAAAGTTAATCGATATTTGGGGCATAAAAGATGCGTCAGTTGCTTGTGGAACAGCCGAGAGCGACCTGGAGTGCTCCACAAACTCCTCAATTGATTTCATCAGACGAAATTACTGTGTTTTAAGGTCTTAAGGATGCTGCATTCCGTAATGTCGATGGAAAAAAATGACGCGAAATTTGCACGAAAAGAAGGAAAGCATACACACCGGTAACCCAGGGCATCTACCAAGTCCTTCATATTGACATCTGTAAGTTTGTATCCTTCCCTGGCAAATGCTAAAACAGCGTTAGGCCCAAGCCAGACGCTACCGTCAACTCGCGGAGTAAAGTGGACCCCAAGGAAAGGAAAGTTGGGGTCTGGTACCTAGAAAAACATCAAATTAATCAAATAAGTGGGGTCTACTAGACATGTGTAAACTGGCCTTAGCTAGCCATGAGAAGGACTGGTGCTTGAGCTTCCCTAGACACTAACTGCCACTACTCAACAGAGTGATCAGCATCTAATTTCTTCTTACAGTAATGCGACTGAATCATTCATGAGAACCACGAGAATAAACCTCAGAAAAGCTTTAAAAAGCTCTTAAAATGCTTTCCTGCCTTTAAAAGCACACACAACCCACAATTCCTCTATTCGCTCCGACGAAGGGCTAACGGTCGAAACGTCAGCTTTTGTAATCGTTACGGTGGCCAATTTACCATTTCAAATTTATTGATATATCCAAATTATTTCAAAAAAGCTTTGATTGTTAAACAAATTCTCCTTGTAAGTACCGTACAAAATGTATAGAGAACAGTATGGAGTATATGCATACTGATGTTAAGGTAAAAGGGATTAACACTTCTTCCCTTTACCACTCTTAATTCAAATCTTTCAACCACTCAACCATTGGAAAATTTTAAGACAAAAAAAAAGCACTTCCATATGTCAGAACTTACTGACCAGAACAGTTCATTCATTGACTAATGTCAGACAAGGTCCACTTTCCAGATAGAATTCTAAAATTCTTCATTTTAGATTGATTTAGTACCATTAGCCACTGGAACTCACTGGATAGATGTTTCCCTTAACTAAATGACTCTTCTCGTCTTTTAACTTCAGGTATTCTCCTCGGAATGGAACAATTCTTGGATCACTTTCACAACCAGACTTCTCTGCCAGGCGATCTGAGTACAGGCCTCCACATGTCACAACATAGCGGCAACTAAGGGGAGACTGGGAAGGAATAAAAAATTCATATGCAGTATGCGCAATGCATATGCTTCCATCTCTGTTAGGTGAATAGTTTTGTGAATATAATCATGTTCACAGTGTGAACGCATGAAAAAGAGAAGGAGGAAAAGGCAGTATCTTACAACATTCTTTCCAAGTACTGTAACAGGATGAGTGTGACCTGCCAAAAACAAAGTTGCAAAAACTCAGCATTTTGTATTAGCATGGCAAATTTGTACAGATCTGTACTAATTTCAAATATTACCTGCTTCTTTTTCCTGAGATCGACTGCTTTCAGGACTACAAGTGAAATCTGTAACCTAAAATGAGCAAATTAACCTTTTAGTCCTTTAGAGTGACTAGCATTTTATTTCTCCTTACAATATCACCCCTGAATCACAAAATAAGGTCACGAGAATAAAGGACATGATCACCAACCAAAGAAGCTCTTGATTGTTAGACAAATTCTCCTTGTCAGCAACCTAGGAAATGTATGGAAAACAGTAGGGAGAAAATATATACTGGTGTTAGGGTGTACAGGGTCAACCAACTATGCAATTTTTCTTATACCTTACTGTAACAGTCAACTGAAATCAAAGTGGCATCATGGAGAACTTGTGGTTTTTTTGTGCATATGTGCGTAATGTAGTTAGGTACAAAGTGATTGCATCAAAAGCCAATGATCCCGTGATTCATGAAACAGTAATGAATGTCATACCCACTAAAGTCCACCCAAATTGATCCACCATCCGCCATGTTGAATAATCAATCTACCATTTTGATGAGATGCATGCTCTCCCTAGGCTTTTAAGGCCATGCTAAAGCCACAAAATCTGCTCATATTTCCAATGCTTCCATATCCACGAGCAAAAACAATGAAAACCTTAAAATCAGCACAACTGTAGATAGGCTTTACTCTTTACACCCTAACATTGGTATGCATATTATCTATACTGTTCTCTACACATTTCCTAAGGTGCTGACAAGGAGAATTTGTTGAACAATCAAGAGCCTTTATAGTTGGTGACCAATTCCTTCATTCTCATGGCCTTAATTTGTGATTCAGGGAGGGATATTGTAAGGAGAAGATACCAGATGCTAGTCACTCTTAAAGGGTCAAAAGCATGTTGCAATAATTAGCAAATACAGTCCAGCATATCTTCTTACCTCATAACCAGTATAGATATCCCCGCCCACCTTCTTGAAGTCTTCTCCATAACTTCGGGCCACCTCTGCCCAATCAACTATCCCAGTATTTGGTGATAAGATGGCAGATACACCCTTAAAAAAAATTCACCAAACACAACATATAAATTTTCTCTTCCACTATTAGGTATTCTGTAGCAAATGAAGACAAGAGGCTAAGGAAAAAAATTTACTAGAACTCTCGATCAGAAAAACAATGTTTGTACACTAAAAAGTGTTCCAATATTGTTAACGTGAAGAGAAAAAGATGCCCTAGTGCACTAATTAACAAATGGTATACACCACAGCGTACACTATTGAGTTATGGATGCACGCAGGAGGTTGCTAAGCACGAAAGAAGCGTAAGAGTCGCTTGAGGCGATAGCCGAGAGCGACTCT